AACCATGTGTGAAGTATTCTGTGTGCAGGGGTACACAAGTTAGGGAGCTCATGTCAAGAGAGGTCTGTGAGAATTCTCTCTTCATCCACAATCTTGATAGGACTTCAAGGAAGGGAAGACCTACTGCTGGGTAAAATTTCTCAGTAAAGTCTCCAGTAAAGAGCAAGGCTGTACAAAAAGCAAGAAAACCTTGAGAAATTGCAGAGGAAAAGAACCTTTTCAAATCAACTAAACCAAAGCAACTGCCTCCAGCTTTCCATGTGGCTTTCTGACATGGAGTAGGAAATAGAACTGTGGGGATACGGTAAGAACTGAGTGCCAGTGACTCAGAACACATGACAGCAGGCAGAATTTTGCATTAGCTAAAACAGAGGGGTGAAGTAAGCAAGTCAGCAAGATGAGTGCTGGAGTGTCTTTCTCCATACTACAACACTAAATACACAGAAAGTGCAACACAGAAATACCAAGATAATTATTCCCAACAGAGAAGATCCACTGGATGAAAAAAATCCCCAAGCTGTCATTCAGCTTCTACAAATGAGTGGCATGATGTGAAAAACAGTGATAGCCAAACATTTATCAGCTGAACCACATATTAAATAAGTTTCTTTAACTTCGTCCAGGTTTCAAATGGTCTAAAGAAAACATCTGTTCTTAATTTGAAGAGTATCAAATATACTGCCTTAGCATAAATTATTTCTTTTTAAAATAATTTAAAAGTATTTTCAGCTGCTGAATGCAACATCATTGGAAGAGGAAGCAACAAAATAATCTGGCTACATGAAACTGCAAAAATGGCTGCAGCAACACATCATTTCAAAGGAAGACATCATTAAAATCTAACCATTGCTTTTGAGCTAGAACTCAAAGACTAGCAGAATGATTAACAGAGACAGGTTACTTTCCTGGAACTGTTCTTTAAAATGGCTTACCTGTTTGTACATTTATACTGAGATTATCTGTATGCAAGCTCTCAGGTAAATTTTACCATATGAGTTTCCTCAGTATTGTACTTCAAGCCTCCTGCAACTGCAGCAACAATAAAGGCAGCAAAGCATCCACTTCTCCTTCTCAAGCTTCCTCTTAATTAAAGAAGCAGAAGAGGTGGACTTTAGGAGAGAGGCTGTGAGCATATTGCACATACTGATAACACAGCCTGAAGACATTAAAAAAGTTGCAATATGTTTTTCTTTGCAATATTCCCTTTTTCTTCTTGAAGTTCACAGAATCATAGAATTGTTAGGGTTGAAAGGGGCCTTTGAAAATCTCCTAGTCCACCCCCCCACCAAGGGAGGGTCACCTAGAGTAGGTTACACAGGAATGTGTCCGTGTGGGTTTTGAGTGTCTCCAGCGAGAGAGAAGTTCAATACTCTTCCAAGGGTTTTGAGAAAGGGCAGTGCTTACCTGGTCTACCAGCAATGATAAGAGGCTTAGGAGGCTGCATGCCTGCAATCACTAGAGCCTCAGCACAAGGAGCCTTTGTAAGAGATGGAAATAAGCAATTTGACAATATTACTGCAGTGGAGAGACCAACAGTTTGTGGACCTTTCAGACTTGGATTGATGGAAAAGAGGATCCCTGCAAGGACTCAGGTCTCGCAATACAAAAATGTAAACCCTTCTGTCATCTAGCATGGGCAAGAGTTATCTTTGTGAAAAAAAAAGCATAGGCAAAACAGTTTCCTGAACAAAGGTAAGAAAAAGGTAGCTCGCTGCCATGAAGAATTGTCCAGAGAGGTTCAGGAACTGAATCTCACTGGCCCTTCTGGTAATAACCAAACTCTCTTCATGGAAGGAGATGTAGGTCAGAGAGTCCAAGCTGCAGGAGGGCAATAACAAAAGAAAGCACAGCTTGATTCCACTCTTTGGAAACACGTAAGAATTAGACAGCAACTGTAGTGTCACAGAATTCTTGCCATTCCTTACCCCATTCCTGTACTAATTAAGAGTCTGAACAGTGGGACTACATACTTAAACACACACACACACACACACACACACACACACACACAAATTTTCCTATTTCCTTCCACACTATAGGTATGTTTCCCACACCCATAGTGTGGAAGAAAATTGGAAAATTTCATGAATGCAAATTAGCAATAGCCCAGGGCAATAGATAAATTATTAAAACACAGAGTCAACTTGGAATTTATCACCAACTCTGGTTCTACAGCTTTTCTTAAGACTGTTGCTTATTGCCTTTGCTTTCTAGGTTTTTAGATACTTAATTGAATACGGCAATAAAGTAGATGCTTTCTAGTCCCTGTGGGTTGATGACAAATATCAAGAATCAAAACAGTGACACCCAATTCTGGATGTACAAGTTTCTGTTGCCCAAGCTACAAGAGCCAGGCAAGCACAAATCCTCAAGGAAAACAGTAACTGCTTGTCCACATTAGCAGGTAATGCAGAGCCACCAGAACATAAGGATAGAACAGAACAGCCAACACTAAGGACCCCCACGTCTTCAGAGGCACAAACGTACATCCCGCAAGCAGCTGCCCCAGTCCCAGGTCTCGCCAGCCACTGGTACTGGAGCTCAGTCCCACTCCAGCCGCTGGTGCCTGGACCCACACTCCAGTCACAGGCACTATGGACACGCAGGCACCCGTGACCTATGGTCACACTCCCCATGCTGACACTTGAGTTTGCTCACTCTGGTCTTCCCCACTGCTTCACCACAGACTCACCACTCCCCTCTGTGGTCTGGCTCCAGCTGCTGTGCTCAGACATCCCTGCAGCTCCAGAACAGAGTTCCTCAGGCAGAAAGGGACTTAAAAATAAAGGAAGAGGCTGTGCTAGGCACAGACAGACTGGCACACTGATTTATCTGCTATTTATATATGACCCACTCTTTTTATCTCCATATTCCTCTATTTTCCCATGCTTACTCCTCTCCAGGTCACCTAAACTTCTCCCTTTCCCTGTCCTTTTTTGCTTCACTGTGCATCCCCCAAGCCCTGCATCCTGCTTGGATTTAAGGCATATTCCTACCTTCTTCACCCCTCATTTAAAAATCTACATACTTGATATTCTATAAAATTGAGTATCATGTGCCTGATTCTTTAACTGCTTACACAGATTTTCTGCTACTGGCAGGTGGGAGAGCTCTTCTCATTTTCCTAATTGAGCTAATTAGAAACACATTGTGAGGATGCCAACTCTTCATCTCTAGTGAGAAATCTTTTAATACAAATAAACAGTGCAATCTTGCATAGGAACCTATCAGTATGGTTTGCTCTGGCTTTTTTTTTTTTTTTTCTTCTCAAGAGAGGTAATGATTTCAGGTACCATTTCACCTCAGAGGCTGGGGATTTAAATCTAATTTTCAAGAAACTCTGAGGAAGACTTAAGGTTTCTTGAACATGACTGGATTTTATTTGCAGTCCAGACAAGTTGACAAAGGAAATGCTATGCCAGTTTTTTTTTTTTTTTGTTTTTTTTTTTTTTTTTTTTTTTTTTTTTTTCCCCAACCTAGAAGACCTGGAACAACTCCAGACACTCCAAGACAGAACTACAAGACTCAAAACCCCAGCAGTCCATCATGTTGGTACAGGGGTTTGCAGTTGTGTCCAGTTACCCTTCTTCAGCAAAAAAACAAACACTGCTAAGTCCAGTTAAAATATTATGGCTTAGCTGGATAGATGAAAAAAGCTAGTAAGAGCACTGAGAGATTTGGAATTTCTGATTTCCTATTTAAAAGGAATCTATCTTCTGCCATAAGGGTGTAGTATACCACCCTTATGCTATACTACAATTACTGGGTACATCACTGTGCATCAGTTACCAATATCACAAAAATTGACAGAAGGAAATTTGTAGTACTTACTTGGTACTGCATAGAAGTGGTTTGTTTATATACTCATTAGTTATGCTGCACCTATAGAAAGTATTGTTTGGCTGCAGTGGGTATTAAAAACAACTTCCTTCAAAAGTCCCACACTTTAAAAAATAATGTTACTGTGCAAAACAGCCAGCTGAAAGTCCGCCACTCTTTATGCTGACTTGCAATCCAAACCAGCACACAGATCTCCTTAATTCAGTGTCTTCTCAAAATGATCCTAAAACATCCTAACATTTAAGTTACTTATGGTAATTGTTTGCTGTTTATGAATTTTTAGTTAGGCTCAGGCCTCAAAGCATGAAACAGAGAAAACGACTTCATGAAAACTAAGTTTGGTACACAGCAACATTGCTGTGTTAGTTTCAGGTCACCCATTTCCTCTATTAGTAAATGCAGTAGAGGGATTCAGGATTTTACTGAGTCTTGGTAGCTTGCGTGGGTAGCAAAGGTTTTCCTTTAGCCTCTCATGGGAGAGGGACATGTTCTCACCAAAATAATCATAGCTCCTGTAAAAGCATTTGAAAGGAATGCAGTATTTTGATGTAGCCATAGGCTTTCTCTGGACACTTATGGCTTCCCACTGTGGAGAAAGTTTGCTGAAAGTAGTAATTTTTGGTAATTCTGTCTAAGCCAAAACTGAAGGATGAACCTAAACTTATATGAGGGCAAGATGTCCTATTTTTGTTTTGTCTAAATATCCACTTTCCTTCAGAAATGTAACACCAGCCCGAAACTGAGTTTTGCACCGAAACACTCCACTCCAACACAAGCAGATTTTACTTTCAGTTATGGGATGCACTGAGGTACTGAGCTGCTTAAACAGACTAAAATAGTCTTGTTATTTTTATGCAAATATAAATGCAGAGAGGGAAAATTTGTCATTACTAATTTTGTCCAGGAGATGAGAGACCTCAGCAATGTTCTTATACCAACATTACTGTAGGAGGCAAGGAAGACCAGGCACTTTAGCATTATGTACATAGCACAGATGAGGTGAATTGCCTCAGCAGTAGCAAATCCTTTCAGCATTTTTGTACTAGAAGAAATTCCTTCTGAGGAAAGGAACTCACAATAAACACATATTAACAGGTAGGAACATCGCACACAAACCTGTATCTACCTGCAACTTCTTGTTCTGAAAGACAACTCATGCATTTTGAAAAAAGTTATTTATTTTCACTGCTTTAATCTCTCTACTGTAGTGTTAGCACTTAACATAAGCATCCACTCTTCTACTGTCCTATTTACAATCCATTGAAATGTATACTCTACAAATACAATACATATCTTCAGAAATGTAAGGGAAATGCACAATTTGGTAAGGTTTAAAAATGACACTCATCTGTACAGGATCCTCAAATCATCCAAAAAGTAAAATTTACAAGGCAGTATCCACACAGCTATGTAAGGGCAGGTGCTACAGTGACAAAGCAGCAAACTTGCTAATACAATAAAAGACAGAAAATGAAGTGTTTTGGGGCACCAGATAATACACTTAGTACCACTGAAGTCGTAAATTTAGTAATATCCATATTTCTAGAAACATGTAACTGCAAACCTGGAGAACATTCTGAAAAATATTAAACATATATACACATGAGGTAAATGTACCTTGGTCTTTTAAGAGGTAATTTGAGTTTAAAGCAACGGATATGGTGAAGGGATTTTTTCTGTTTGCTTGTTTTTTTAAACACAAAATGATTAACACCTTGCAATCATTTCAATGGCACAATACAAACAAGGAACTAACTAAAAGGTGAATTTCATGGCAGTCACACTCAGAGCCATTACTGAGAAAATAAAATAGCCTCTTACTTCATTTGACACCTTCATGTCCCCACACAGTCAATACCAACGTCTTTATTTATATACAAAGTCTTTCTTAGGATTACAAGCAGAACCATAGGAGGGTGACAGTGTGTCATACTTGGAGAGTCTGCTTGAGAAACATCGCAGAATTCCAGCTTTTAAGGTTGGAAGGTCCCTGAAGAATTCCAGCATTTCAAAAATGACATTTTAGATTTTTCAGCATCAGACCATTTCCAATGCTTCTTGTTCTCTACGTCCATATCCATCTGGTCACAAGTCTGTAAATCAAACTGAGGCTTCAATGCTACTAAAATGTAAAGTTGATTGAATCCAAAAAATTCAAGTGAATCTATAATGTATGTAATATTTACAATAAACATTTGCATCAGTATCAATCAGAAAGTGTTTTGGTATATACTTGAAATTATACAAAATTAATATTTTGAATGCTAAAATATTTTGGTCCCCCTGGATTTCCAAGAGCAGATCTGGTGATATTACAATCTTAATTTAAAAAATACTTATGTGTACCTGTGTCCATATATATAAGATATGATCTTACACAGGTAACATTTAAAGTTACATAATATATACAGACACAGCCTTTGTAAAAGGTGTTCAGTTCATATAATGGAAAAGAAGAACAAAGCTTGAAGTCATGGTGTCAGAAAAGCACTGAGAATACATATAGCTCTATTCAGAATTCTCCTGTTCTTCAGCCCAATAGGAATGATAATAAGGTTGTTCTAAAATACTGTTCCTTAGGTCATACACAGTGTCAAGCATCCCTCTGTGCTTTGTTTTTGCAAGCTTCTATTGCAAAGCTAAATTTTGAACAAAGTAAGAACAGTTGCTAGCCATTTAGGAGAGTGAAGATTTGCAGGTGGTTGATACAATATAACACACAGTTATATTGTTGACAGAATCATCTGCGTGCCATAATGCTGTTCAGCTGCTGTACATCCTCTTTAAAATGCAACAGAACTCTTCTGTATATTTTAGGAAATTAAATGTTTTTCCAATAAGGTTTTGTGGATGTTAAAAGAGCCACTAAAATTATTTGATTAATTATACTGTAAACACTCCTGTTCCCACAAAAATTACTGTAGAGATCTGAGGCACGCCAGGAGCCTGATACTTCTGAAGTAGTAGCTGTATCATTTGTATCTATGGTAAGGCCCACAGGGCACCTATGAAAACTTGAAATGTAACAAAGTTACAAAACAAAAAAGTTAAATTGCTAACTAGGAAGCCTTTGAAATTAGATGGAGACCCTGACCTATTTTCATGATGACATGGTTTTTTTTTAAAGTATCTGTACAGATACATAGAACTTGCTAGAAAGGTTGCCAAGTAGACAGGCTTGGAAGTTACATTACATTCAAACTTTTTTTTTTTTTTGAACAGTTAATGGAAAACCTCTGTGGAGCACAATTGTCCATGCGCACAAAGGGATAGTTTATTTAAAATACCTACATGAAGTAATTTTTAATCTGGCTTTGACTGACAAAGCCTGAAGCACATAAGCCTGACCTGTCAGATAATGCCAAACATAAGTGTGACAGCTGTATGTATGTTTAAACCTAATTGGTTTCTAAGAACTTCTCTTATTTTTCCCTTTTCTCCTGGATACTGTCTTCCAGTATGAATAAACTCATCCATTGTTGACAAAATCATTTAATTATTTGCAGTTTGACCTCTGAGAGTCTGTAATTCTGACATAATTTAAACTTCTCTCCAAGCAAGCAGTAAGAATATGGAAATAAACAAAAATCAACTCTTAAGGCTTTTCTTGGGTAAGGCTTGTGTCACCTATGTAGCCTCTTCTTCCTGGGCCTCATTCCTCTTCCTGTTTGAGCTGCCACACATCACAGACCATGGCACAGAACCTTGACTGTGCTGCTACCAGCAACCTGCCACTGCCACCATCTTGGCAGCAAACTCTCAGTGGGTTCTACGCCAAGGGATGAACAGGAAGCCAAGTTAAAGGTTGCCATGTATGTTGCACAATGCGATGGGCACTGATGTGTTCTGAAGAGTGGCAGGTTAGGCAACATATTAATTACCACACACATTTACATACTAAAACACTATTGTTTTGGACATCAATGGAACACCAAAGGTCAACCAGATCTTACTAAAGTTGCAATAAAAAAATATCCTGGTGTCCTAGGTTGATAAGGAAGTGAGTTTTTTGGGAGGTTGTGGTCAAACCAATCATCTGCATCATGTAAGGAAGATGTCACAAGGGCAGATTTTCTCCAGGTGGTGCCATGTGTGACATGGAAACACAAGAAGTTACAACTGTGTTACCTAGGGAACCTACAGTATACAAGGGACTCCTCTCTCCCTTGATAAACTAAGAATTGATTATCTGAGGGGTGGTGATGAACTGAGAATTGATTATCTGAAGGATGGTAACTTGATTGAGAATCCGAGGTTTTGTCTCACTGTACTGTGTTAAAAATTGAGTGAGGAGGAACATTTTAGAAGGTTTTCATTCTGAGTTATGTGTGTGTTCCTTTTTACATATTGTAGCTTAATAAAGCTTTTTTCTTCATTCCTAAGCTAGAGCCTGCTTTGCTCTATTTTTAGTCACATCTCACAGCAGACACTAGAGAGAATATATTTTCATGGGGGCATTGGCATTGTGCCAGCATCAAACCATGACACCTGGTAACAGCAGGTTTTTGTTGTACATTTGGGTAGGAAGCAATTTAACTTCTAAACAAGTTTGTGACAACATTATGATGTTCTTGAAAACTTAGGGAAATCTTGACTAAAGCCATGCATATTCTTCTGTGTTCTTATGACAACACACATCACCTTAAGCTTTGTTCTTCTAACAATGAAGAGGATTGCTGGAATCCCCCAATATTTGTGTCCAAAGACCTGCAGCTCACCACCTTCTCTAGCTCACCACTTTGTGTATGAGGCACACACAACATACATGTACATAAAACTTATAAGCAGCTTTGAACTGTCTAGTACAAAAGCCCAAATAACTTTTCTCTAATGACAAGTGCATTAAATCATTGTGTAATTGCAAATATTGTTCCTTGAGCCTTAAGACTCGGCAGAACTGCACAGAAAATATGCTTTTCATACTTATTTAATGAAGCAAAATCTCCCTTAACATTTTATTTTTCTTGCTACTTTTCTGAAGTAGATAGGTACTTCAAGCATTTTAGAAGTACCACTTGATAAAAAAAAATCTACATAATTATGACTTGTAACTTGACAATTACAAAATATGACAGTGAATTTACTAGCTTACACTATTTAAAACTCCTACAGTGGTTTCAAGAGTCAGATTTTGGTAAAATTGAAGACTTTTTATCTATTATGTACTCACTGTTGCAACGAGTGAGATTTAGCACTTAGCTAGGCAAAGGAACAACTTTTAACTTTTATTTTTGAAACCAAAAGTACCATAGGCTTTGTACATCCCTACTACTTTGCATTAAAAGACTCAAAAGTGGCACTTATTGGTGTAATACAATCTATTTTGAAGGCAATGTAATGTTCTGAAAAAGTGGAAAAAACCCGGAAATCATGTATAAAGTATAGTTGCATAAGTTATGTTCCCACAACTGAATGAGGTCAATTTTTAAGTCAAGGTAAGAGTCCAAAAGATGCACTACCTTAATAGTTGGCAAGGTATACTCCAATAGTACATTCACAATCTGAATCCAGGAATCGAGACAGTGGTTCAGAGTAGTCAATGTACCAGGCAGCAATAAAGTTGCTTTAAGAGCCATCAATGCACTGTAGAACAATATAGCAAACCAGTTTCAGTTTAGAAGTGACCTCCTACTTTTAGTACAGCTAATTAGCAAAGACCAGCTATCAACTTCCCAAATAAAAAAATTATAGATTAACGAAACTAGAGTACATGATGTTTTATAAGTAACCTGGGAAAGAGGTTCATAGTGCACAGAAAGACCCAACACAACTGTTTAGCACATCCACAAAAATCCTAAGTGACGTTCCTATGAAGTACTAAAAGGCAGCAATATCCTTCTGTTCCCCCAGTGAGGTAGAACAATTAACCTTCTTAACACGCCACTCTGGTGCAGATAGGGATTTTTACAGTGTTCTTCTGTAGCAAATCCAGGATTACATCTTGATCCCCTCTTGCTGACTAAGTTGTGATAATGTTTTCTTAATGCGCAAAGCTGTCAGCCGAGCGGCTCCGTTGGCATACCAGCATTCCCGCATAATTTTTGCCATCACTCGTAATGCCTGCAAAGGAAACACAAGTCATTATATGTACTGCTGTTCCAGTGTAGCCCGTGTAACTGCTGCTCTGCCTTAGACTCTTCAGGCATTTCTGACTCAAGTCCATTACCAGTACTACAGGTGCATAGGAGAGTGTACTGTTAAAAAAAAAACAAACCAAAACAAAAAACCCCTTACTTTATTTACAGAAAAGTAAAACTCTCTAAACACTGTAGAGCAAACCTGATACTTTTCAGTAGAGTTTTGGCCCATGAAAATAATATTTTAATAAAAATTTATTAGCTTGTCTGTAACAGTTTTCCGAATTTTCACATCAGACAAAAATACACTCTTTTTAATTGTACTTGCAGTTAAGGAATTACTTCAACACACAGCAATTAAGTTCAAGAGCTGTCCTCCTCAAATTGAAACTCTGTAAGGATTCGAAAAGTTTTTGAAGTCTTTTTATCCATCAAACAGCCATTCTTTGAAATCTGAGTCCTTCTACATGTTATTTGCAACAAAGCAAATAACAAAAATGGCAGATTAAATGAAGTAACAGCTCCAAAGTACTGTGAAAGCTGTATTACCTTAGTCATTTTAATCCTGATAACTACCTGTCTCACAGTTTGTTGGTGCATTCACCACCTTCCTCTCCCCTTCCTTTGCACTGTTGCCCAACTCTTAGCCATGCATTCATTCCACACACGCCACAACCCAGGTTCCCTCCTCTATCGAAAGCACCTCATCCTTATCAGTATCTCACTGCTCCTGCAGCCCACTGAACAAGTTGCCCCAAGCTGTAAGTCACTGGCTGTGACAGAGCAATGCTACAGAATATTCCCTCTGACCAGTTTGGGTCAGCTGTCCTGGCTCTGCTCCCTCTCATGCCCTTGTCCACCCGCAAGCTACTGGAGAAACAGAGAATGCCTTGAAGCTGTGCAAACACTGCTCAGCAACAGCTAAACCAGCAGTGTGCTATCAGACTGTTTTAGTCACAAATCCAAACCACAGCATTGTGCAACCTACTATGAAGCACATTGCCTCAATCCCAGCCAGACAATTTATTTGCAATGATGCTTCCCACATAAAGGAATTTAGACTAGCTGTAATTTATGTTAACATCATCTATGCTTCACAGGAATCCTAGAATCCTCCATGCAGAGTTAGCTACGAACTTTTAAAAAATTACATTTAAATACTTATGTATAACCAAGGAACAATGTTTTTAATAAAACCATAATGATTAGAATGAAATTAAGTTCTCCTAAAAGCAGCTCTTCTCCCTTCAACAATAAGCATGATTTTTAAGCCACTGAAAGCACTAAAAGCTCTAGTGTTCATTAAAGCAGCTTTAGCAAAGTTAGTTAATACCTCACAGCTCTGCCATCTGTTTGGAATATTGGGCCTTAACTTCTGTTCACACACAACTTTCCTCATTTCTTCAACAGAAGGGTCTGAAGGAACAAGGTCATAGTATGGCAACTGGTAATCTTCGTGGATTCCTGCAACAGGTTAAAAATAGCTTTATTTTAGCTAACATTGGATTACATATCCTTCACTTTTTACTGTGTTCCTTATCAGTACCCTACCAGGTTTTGGTTTTCATTTTTAAAAGTTACATCACAACAACTGACAAATAAGTAAATGAAAATCCTTAACCACACCTTAGGAGTGTTTACATTACCCTTCAAGGATCTAAAATTTATAAAACTGGGAGAGATATAAGCTACATCAAATCTTTCACGTGCTATACTAAAAACATGCTTCTTCAGAGTACATGATTTATAACAGCATGCTTAATCTTAAATAAGATATAGATTTATCTGAACACAATATAGCTAGGTCTTGTGGTATTTGCCTCTTGCTCACAAAGCTGTTAAATTTTACCCTTTTCTCCCCTCTATGTAAATATTTGGAAAACAAAAGAATATTTCCTATTTTGTTCAACAGGTTTGGTCTGTCAATCTAGAAAGAGGTTGAATAAACCAGTTATCATTTACAGGATTAACAATTATAAAGTCTGAGATCCACTGGCTATTATTTTGCACTGTTTTTTGAGCAAACTGTTTTCAGAAACTGAATAAGTTTAAGTTCCTTATAATTCCTTAAAATGTCCCATTTTATAAAGATTGCCACGTACCACCAATTGAACACCGCCGAGCTATTTCCCAAAACACTAATCCCATTGCATAGATGTCTGCTCGTTTGAATGACTCAAAATGTTTCATATTTATGGAATCATCTAGGACTTCAGGAGCCATGTACCTGCGTGGAAAAAAAATTATTTCATAAACACTTAAGAGTAGAAAAAGTTCAGCACTACTGATCAGCTCAAATACAAAACAATGTATTTTTGTGGAGAAGGAGATAAAAGAAAAATCTGCTTCATTAAGATTATCCAATCAGAGACAATTCAATGTAAAGGGATAAATAAACAGAGAAAAAAGCAGAGAAATAGGGGGATTAAGTAAAATGTGAAACAAACAACTAGAGCTATAAACCTGATAGAGAAGGCACAACTGAGACAGTGACAAAGACTGGAAGTCTCCAGTTCTTCACTGACAGGCTATTAAGAAACTCCAGGCATAACTTTATAGGGGCGCAGTCTGGACCTTGTGACTCCTAATACGTTGGAAAGAAGAACACCACAAAGATTGAGGATATTGAAGGAAGGCCTGTGCAACTACACAATGCTTATCAAGGAATGTTCAGGACAAGAGAACAGAAGTGCAGCAACAGATAGAAAAGGGTAGCAAAAGGACCTGCTGCATAAAAGGTTGCCAGTCTCACCATGCTCACCTGTATATCCTATTTTATTAAATCCTAACTATTCTGTGCAATCTCACTCTCAAGCCCATGCACATGTGCTCTCTAAGAACTGTGTGCCACCAGCTGGAGGCAGGCATGAGTCTTTTTAGGTCTAGCAACTGCAGCAGCTGAAACTAGAGAGAAGGAAGGGCTCAGTATCAGCAGGTGGAAGGGGAACTACAGGTACTAGGAGCACATCTGCAGGTGGTGAGAGCACATATCTGGAGCTACACAGTGGTCATTCTGTGAATAAATTCTGGGCTGGCAACTGTAGTCTGACAGAAGATGAAGGAAACCCTGGTGCCAGCAACCGGAACAAATGAGTTGGTCTGCTTCAGCTACTGAAACAAGACCATGGATCACAGGCTTCATGGTCACAGCTTACACATACCAGCTACAGCAGAGAAAGCGGATGAGAAAAACACAGTAAGGGTCTCTCAGCACTAGCAACTGGAGTGGGAGTCACAGGCTGTAAGGTCTGTGTGTCTGGGTGCCAGCTGCTGGGCAAGAAGATTTGCATTTCTCCAACCCTGCACAGCTGGTGCGCAGGACTAATTAACCAGCAACCTTCAAGCTAGTCTAGCCAGCACCCAGGCAGCCCAGGCAGGGATATTTGCCAGGACAAGAGCCCATGCTGATATTTGAGGGAATCCATGCAGATAGGCATGCATACAAATACATCAGCTGTTTGCTGCTGTGCATTGACCCAGCTGGTGAGTATGAGATCCATGGAGCTCAGGAAAGGGCATTAGACACAGCAAACCTTGTGTGGATGGTTGAGGGGCTCATAAACATGCATGGAGTTGTGAGGCTGCAGAAGGGAGTATGCGCTTTCACTAACGAAGTTCAATCCTGATCAGCTGAAGAGAAGGAAGGAGACTTGGCTCTCTATAGTTATGTTTTATACAAGTTCTGACAGTGTTTTATGTGGGAGTTGAAGATAGCACATGGTGCACAGCAATCTGTATAATCAGCCCTATCCATACTGTATGTGTCTGTGTATGACTGGTTGGATTCCAAGGAAGAAAGCAGTAGCCACATCCAAGGGCCCTAGTCCTTCGGAACACACCAGCTAGGCTCCAAAGGTCAGGCAAGAGGAAGCCCCAGTTCCTGTAATCTGAAAAATTATAGCAGCCACTTAAAATATCTCCTACCAAACCTAAAGCAGGAATAGACAAGAACTGCTGGTTAAGAAACCAGCACTGTTAAAAATTTCTTGAAAAAGGCCCACTACCATTGCAATACCTGATTCTTCATCGTACAGTCTGCAAATCCCATCCTACACCATGCTTTTTTAAAAATTAGTAAACTATGAGGGTTACAAATTAACAGCTGTGCTCAGTGATTTAGTTTACTCACATTTCCTGCAAGGAGAAAACATCTGTAATAAAGTTTCCCTTAAGAAACAAGGCCTGAAAACTGGTCATGGCATCCAAGTGGCTGTTACCTTGTTTAGTGAGTAGGTCTGACATGGGAACATCAAGCAAAAGGTCAGTGTGGACCTTACTGCAAGAGCTACTGACAGAAGCATCCCCACTTGCTGCTAGAAAGAATGAATGTTATTTGCTGCATCAAGCCAACATCAGTGGTAGCACTGCTCTCATTCTGATCGGGTTCTGGCAGCTAAATTCAGAATGTGATGTTTAGCAGAGTTCAGTGTGTTTCTCCACATCATCACCCTAGCAGTCTCAAGCTGACATATCAATGAAGCAGACCAACAGTGGCACCTGGGCTTTGAAGAGCAGTGTTGACTGGTAAAAAAGCAACAAGCGCAGACTACTGGAGTGGAATACAGTAACAGGCAATAGCTCTACCTCTGGAACAGCCACAGAAGCCTAGACATGGTTTAATTTAATCAACAGCATTGTAAGATTTTCTTTTCCAATACCAGGGATGGTAGGGAGAATGCAAGACACACTCCTTAAAAGAAATTTCAGGACTCCCTCAGTACTACAGAAATTCTTACAGAAATTAAATAGATACAAGGAAGGAAGATACATGAAAAATCACAACGAGTAGTTGCATTTGTTCTGAACTACCCAGAACTTCAACAAAATCTGCTGAGATGAGAGTTCTCCTAAGGCATACAAATTCCTCACAAGTAATAAACACAGCACAAGCAGAGGACAAATGTCTGAAGTTGAATGTAAGTTCGAATAGATATTTGATATCTTTGATATAGACAAGGCTCAAATTGTTCTGGTCCATCCCTTATCAAAGATGTTTTAATCAAGAATGGAAGATTATGGTGAATACTTTAACGCTGTCTAAGGATTCTGCATTACAGGATACTCTTCCGGTACTTCATGTGCTTGACACTAAGTGATTATCTTGGAGCCCAAAAGAAAGAATATTTCATCTATCTTAAGATGCCACGAGGATTAAAAGAGTGATGGACCTGAAAAAACAACTAGAAAGCCCAACCATAGTGCAAGATGTCAGCCAGAAACATTAAACAAGCAGTAAAGGAGATTGTCTCAACTTCTGTGAACTATCCAAAGAACAAGGCTTTTAACAGGAAAGACCACAAGAGGCCTAAATGTGGCAAAAAAATCCCTCCCCATGTGACTTCCATTGGCAAATTGACCTCTTACCATGGCCCTCCATTAATGCATTTAGATTTGCTTTGGCTTCCATGACACAGAATGGTGAATGACTGCTGAAAGATTATTGCTGGAACAAGAAAGGTGAAAGGCAAAGAGGTGGTGTAGTGAGGTCAGCAGCTCAGCCATTTCATGGCTGTTACACGAAAGGGAGAGAAGTAGGCATTTCCTTGTCAGCTTATGTGTTGGAAATGCATTGCCTGGCAGAAGCAGTATCTTAGGTTCTGGAGACAACAACTCTATTTCACAAAGTAACTCTGACCTTCTGAGCAAGGTCTGCAGCTCAATATCATCCAAAAATAAAAGGATAAGTCTACAAAGAAGGGTATGAAGTATGTTGAGCATGGTCTTGCCAAACTTTGGGTGCCTGCTGACCTCTTTCTTCCATCTCTTTCAGTCCAAAAGCTCAGTACTAGTTGTCTAAATTTCTTGTACAACATATAGGGAGCTTTGTGTCATCAACTACACCCAGACATAAAATGATGTGTGGCATCTCCTTTCATCAAGCCTATACGCTACAAGGTAGAATTTTGCCCATATTTTGTTTAAGTAAACTTCTGAGAAGCACCCATGGTAAGAATTTGCTGCCAAACTTCTTTTAAAACACAACCTATTTGAACTATCAAAAGTAACAGCTGGACCATGCTTCTAAACAAACAGGAGGAGAATGAGGGTTTTTTACTTGCCTCAGGGAGTGAGAGATTCTATTTCCTTCTCAGTTTAAAGCTCACATTCCCTGCTTTATGTAGCAAGCTGTGCTGTGAAAGCACACAGTTCACCCCTCTGGTAAAGCTAAGCCTCTGAACAGAAAAGAAATAAAGTCAGAAAATTCAATAAGAAAGAAGGATCATCAGTTTGACTCAACACCCTGATCACTCACACAAAAGTAAGTCTGCCTGTTCCCTAGACATACATTTTTACAACAATCATTAGAAAAATACAGACTTCATCAAATCTCCCTGAACTTGTACACAAAGCTCCCATGTGCAGAAGAGGTACCAGCAGTGGCAATCAGTGGGGGTTAAAACTGTCACTGAACAGGTAAGACTTGACCTGTACTATGAAAAATTAATCAGAGGTGCAGAGTTACTTACCTAAGAATGCACAAGAGGAAGAAGAAGGGTCTAAGCCTTTTACAAGAAAGAGCAATTTTCAGAGAGGTAGAAACGACTAATGTCTTTAAAAGGGGAAACAGATTTAGCCCTCCTGTTGCCCACTGCAGCAAACAAGAGTTGCTACAGCTTTAACCTTGTGAAGAAGCATAAGGCAGATGAACAAGCAATTTAATAATGACCAGGCAAGTAAAGATCCAGTAAGTGGGATCTGCAAACACAGCTGAAAGGATGCTTTCTCCAGTAACTAGACTAAAGAAAGTAACTGATCTGTACGTCATTTGCCTTTGCATGTAGGTGTAGTAGAAAATACAAAATCACACGTGGCGTGCGCCCCCCATGCAGCTAAATTTGCAACGATGAGTTCTGAAATGATCCTGCTACTAGACACTTAGAGAAGGAAAAATACTCAGTTCCTTATAATTTAGAAGTAGCTCAGAAAATAAATCTTATCTCACCATTTGTGTGGTATTTTAAAAACTGGCAAAGGACTAGTACAGCAGAGCTTTAGAACAAAGTAACTTCAACAGTGTTATGTGTCAGTAAAACAAATTTTCAGTACATTTTCTAAAAGCTTTAGTTAACTGAACCTTAAAATAATGTTTAAGGGTTTTTCCCTTCCAAAAAGACACAGCTTAAGGGTCATCTTAGTTCATTGTAAAATCCCAATCAACCCCCCACCCCACAGTATCACTTACTAAAGGGATATAGAAAAAAAGTGGTTTTGATATATTAACTGGAGATTGGACAACATCAACGGAACTTTCCCCAACACTGCTAAGCCATATGGGCTTAGCTGTCACACGTTTCTCTATGAGCAGTGCCAAAACTCCAGTCTGACATAGCACTGAACCTATAGGCATCAGAAGAATGAAAAGTTGCCCACTTCCAAAATGCTTGCTGTTAGTAGTGCTATCTCTGTACGCTGTATAGCTGCATGGATTACTAAGGGAAATTTGTTTATAGCTTCCAGTTAATATTGCCTGAAGGTTCACCAATGATAAATTACTGACAGTAAGTTTTATTGCACTTGTGCTGACTCAGTTAAACAGCTCTGAATTCTTCTGGGGCAAGAAAAACCTGTATTTCCTGATTCAGAAAAAGCTTTTAAGAGACTATATTGACTCATCCACTTATGATTCTATTTATGCATTAGATGACAAAGATGACTGTTTTAACTTCTTGCATTTCTTTAAAAAATGTGATTCCAAGACAGTCCTGTGTCCAAGACTCTGCACCTTGTATGTTCTTCCACACAGGCTTCACACTGACAATCACAGATTTTTACTGTCACTATCAATACCCTGTCTTACACTTCTGATTGGGCTGCAAGTAACATTTCCATGCAATACATGGCAAAAAGAAGAAAGACAGCACTCAAGTCTCTAAAGTCATCAGTCATGAAGTCTCTTAATTGTTTTAATTAATATTTGTGCCTTACAATACTTAGCAAGTTTCCAGTATTTTACACCAGCCAACACTGAACGTGCTTTTTAACTGCCTACCATCTAACTAAAATACCAGCTGACAAGGAAGTGCCCAAGAACTCTATATGCCATTACATTTTCCTGCTACTTATATTTCTATCAACATAAATTTATATGGGACAAGAAAAACCAAAGCATTTTATTATAGAAGTTGCCTGACACATCACATAAATGATTTTACCTTTTTGTTCCCACTCTGTGGTTTGGGGCAATGTCAATTGTGTCTGTAGCTGAATCGTGCCTAACTGCCAATCCCAGGTCTGCAATGCAGCATGTTCCATTCTTCTTCACCAATATGTTTTTAGATTTTAAATCTCTGTGGGCAATCGCTGGTTTGCCTGTAAGGGAAAAAACAGAAGTTGTACAAAAACCCCAAACCAACCTCCTTTTATTTTAAGCCTGGTGCAAGCTTCTGTTTGAAGGAACAGAATTCCTTCTGTTTGAAGGAAAACTTTATGTGCACCAGGGTACCTCCTGAAATCATTCATTGTAGATTGTCTGGCTGTTCAGGAAAGTGAACATGTTTACTGTATCACGCCACATTTGCTCCTTTCCCTCTTCCTGCAAGTATTTATTGCACACACATCCTACTCAAACATTGTCTCAACTCAAAGTTAAGAAGGTGCTACATGTACCATTACTTGGTGCCTTTTAACAGGTATTTTGTAGGAAGGATTGTTACATCACAATACCAACACCAGAGAAAAGAAGGCAAAAAGCCTTTCAAATTAAGAAGTTCTGTGAATTTGGAAATCATCACAGAGTAGAACGAGCTACTTATGTGTCATTAAAAAAACCAAAAAAACAACCAGTATTAACCACATGACAAGCAGAATAATTCTAAGATTACCTTGTGTGCCAACAATTTCCATGTGCAGATGAGCAAGACCACTGGCAGTGGACAAAGCTAATTTTATCATTCCTTCCACTGTTACTGTATACCTGTTCAGGTAATCAAAGAGTGATCCATGCTCATGATAGTCTGACACTAACCACAGCTGAGTCCATGTACCATTGTCTGCAAAATAAAACTGGCATGAATACCACACATACACACACGACAAATAAACAGTATGTTCCACTTCTATACAACACCTATGAAGTACAAATTATGGTCTGCAAGTAACCTCTGTAAATTAGACTCTTACTATTAGGCTCTTCTATTCCTGTAACATTTTAATGCCTCTGCAAAGGCTGATAATACCATGGGAGAGTTTCTGAAACGCTTAGTGACTATTGTATATAAATTAAAACACAAACCATAAAAAACTGATGTCACTATAATTCTGAGGTGTATATTCAGGGTGAACTGCTCAGGGTACTAGACAGGCCTTGCCTTTCCCTAGGTTTCCTGCTAGAGTGGGGCACAGGGAACAGTGCTGAATGCATGATACAAAACTAATCCCAGCACAATACTGTCCATGCTAATCATAAAAAAAAAAAGAAAAAAAAAGGCAGCATTTTAAACTTTGCTCCGTAACTTCTTCAGTCTTCCCATAACCTATCAGACAATTCCCACAGTGGATTTTTCCTCCTAGAATAGAAGCTTACAAGCAGCAATCAGATACAAAGTTAAATCCCACCTCTGATGACCTCCAAATTGCTGGCCAAAATGGAGGTTTCCAGAAGGCACAAGGGTAAAGAAAGCAAAAAAACACTGAGGAAATCAGTTTGCTGTATGACTTTTGATTGAACTATGACAAACAAGATGGGCCACAATACATTCATAGCTGTCCCAAGGCATACAAATGACATATGAGAACTTAATTGTTCACATTACTAAAGCAGTGACACAAAATACCTTTAAGTTTAAGCCACAGAAAGAACACTATCAAAGGAATTCAAATCAAGAGGGGAGCAAAAGCATTTTTTACCTAAGAAGCAGAAATATATCTAGGAAAGAACAATCCTGCCACTGAATAGTTTTCCAATTTTGTTGTGTTATAAAAGCACCTCTTCTGTGGCAGACTTGAAAAGCATTTTCACAGCCAGCTAGTTTTACAGAACAATCTTTCATCTCTTTAGAAGAGCAGTTATCCCATAAAAGACATCTGTTGGACTCCTAGCCTGAATTATATAGCCCCTATTCCCTCAGAATAAGAGAGAACACTCAGCACAAGTCAGAAAGATGTCTCATTATGTGATAGTCTCTAAAGATGGCTCAGGAATATGACGAACATGAAAAAGGGAAAGAAGTTCAGAACTTACTTCCTATTGCAAACATACTGAAAAATTTTTACTTTCCAAAGAACACACTTGTCAGAAAGCCAGAAGCACAACACGCCTGCTCTACAGATTGACAGAAACTACCTTTATAGAAACACTTGTGCTTATCTTTAACTTAACACTTTGGTGGGGGTGGGCAAACTTGCAAACATCCCTTTTATTTGGATGTTTTTAGGGAAGTCAGTGATGCCATTAAAAAAATCTAAAAATAAAAGATAAAAATCAAAAAATCCACCAAAATGGAAAGGCCTCCAAATACTTCAGGGTAGGAAAAAGACTAATACACATTCAAACAATTCCCATAATGGAAAGAGAACTCTGGTGTCTGTAGTAGACACTTAGCTGTAATGAGGGAAACAAAACTAATTTTAATTAGTCTACCAGACCTATTGTGTTTAAACAGCTCTATAAAAGATGTCTGTTTCTGAAGAACTATCACAGCTTTGATTCAAGACTATGGTGCCTTTGCATAAAGTTCCTCTCTTCTTAACACTACATTTCCTCCTAAGAGGGGAATATGCTGCTGGTTACAGACTCTTCTGTTCAGCTTTATCTTGTGTATTACCTGCAAGTTTTCATATTCAAGCTCTACCTTCCTTCCAAAGAAGAAATATAAGCTGGGCTTACCATCCAGTCTGAGAAGAACCATTATTCTTTCCTATTATGTGCCATATTTGTGACCCTTCAACGAGATTTTAAGAAGGGACAGTGCTACATCAAAACTAATTATATAAATAATTACAGGCAAGCTGAAATGCAGCAATAGGTCCAGTGTCCAGCTATCAGAAGGGACCTACTATGTTTTCCTTGCCACATTTGACAAACCATACATTTGTTTAGCACTCTAAGCAGAACACACTACAATAAACTTAAGTCTTCTTATTCTGTTGACAGTAGTTGATTATTACCAAGCAATAATTAACCTGACCTGTAAAATACCTGAGTATTTTTAGCTGCCGAGTAAACAGCATCTGCCATGAAGCTTTCAATCACAGGATTTGCATTATCAGGTAGGAAAAAGTAATTATACTCAATAGTAATTACATACAGTAGCCCAGCTTTCCATGATTAGGTAATCTAATTTAGTTTATCCACTCACAATGATCAAGAATCTCAATTTCAGAATATTCCAAATTTACAAAAAGTTTATATGTGTTATTGGAAACATATTTAAGAGGTTAATAATGGTTATTTCAGCTATTTCAAGACACCTGAAAGCACTTCATATCACCAAGAACACTCAGAAGTAAAAGATTTTAATTTTTAACTCCAAATAATTATTGAAATTTTGAGAAAAGAAGCTTTCAGATTTGTTGTCAGGAAACTGATTACAGTTTGGGAAAAACATTACTAATGCTCAAGCAAAATCTGTCTTAGTAGAGCTGACTCATGAAGAACGGAATTTATACAATTGCTATATCAAATACATAATCAAGTTTCAATTAAAATTCAACTGACTAGAATCACTTAAGTGAAAATTTTTTTTTTTCCACATCAACACTAGCAAAACAAAAATGTTTTCTGTGGTGTTATGTAGCAAAGTATTTCAAAGCAGATATTTAGCCTTTTTTGGCACATAGATAATGTAATATCAGGGGAAAAAAAAACAGGAAAAAGCAGTGAAAAGAACAGATTCAGATGGGATCTCCAATGAGAAATCTCTTAGAAATGAGATATTCAGGGAGATAGCACTTTTGTCAGTGACTAGAGCATGACTGGTGTCTTGTTAGCATTAACAGCTTGACTCTATCATGTTGATACAGTCATCTGACTCAATGATGAAAAGCATTTGAGCTCTGCAGATTCCTTCTCAGGCTAAAGCCAGAGCTTCAAAATGAATAAATGGCTGAAATATTACTTCTCAGGAGTCAGGAATTCTGCTCATTTCTTTGAAGAATATTGTTTAACATCACTTTTGGGGAGCCACTTACCATGAAAGGTGTTCTGACTGAATCAAACTATCATACTGGGGAGTGTGCTTCCAGTTAAGGGGAAAGAATGGAGAAGTCAAGGTATTTTAGTGCATGAAGTTATCTGGAAGTGTGCAGTGCAAGACTTCACCTTATTTTATTCTGCCTACAGACAGTTAAGATTACAGCCAGCTAATGCAGAGAAACCTTTAATACTGCGAACTGTGGTTCCTGACACTACTCTTTTGCTAGAATAGTAAGTTAAGTAGAGTTATACTTAATAGAGTTAAGTAGTCCCTATACACTCTAACTTCAAGTAACTGGGTTAGAAAGAACAACACAAAAAACCACGCACAAAACAAACTGTGTGTTTAGATGGTACAAAACAAGACAACACATGGCCCTGAAAGTAACTTCCCTGACCTAGCAGAATTTGGAAGTTAGCACATACTCACTATGCAAAGAACTACCCAGAACACAGAAGAGCTTGTCAGGCAGACCACAACTGCAATTAAAATAATTCATTCCTTCTCAGCCCTCAAGCTGTCTTAACTGTAGCACCTATTTCCCAGTAGATTACAGGATGGAAAGCAGACAGCTTGGACCAGGTCCTGTAGCCTTCTGAACATGACACAGGTCTGGGGAAGTAGAAGAGAACGTGCCATTAAGGCACATGGACAGTCTGAAGAGTGTGGTAGAAAAAGGAGTGAAGACAGCAGTTCAGTCACAAGCTCTAATCTAAACACACCCTCCTACCCAAAGGAACCCCTTCCACCAATTTTACACTAAATAGCTAGCCAGATGTTCCTCAGCAGCTGTGAAAAACTGCAGTTGAGGTAAAAGTAAAGACCTTATTAATGCCTTCAGCAGCAGCAAGAACTGAAGCATGCCTTGGTTCTACAGCTCTTTTAATAGTCCCTTGCTAATTTTGAAATGACTAGTACTCCTGTATCTGTGCAGTTATCTTTGCAGTACCTCAGACACACAGATTCCTGCAGTCTAATGACTTTGTGCACTCCAGCTACACTGTAGTAACTCCTGAATACATTCAAAAGTCAGCCCTACAGAGAAATGGATGCAAACCATCCACAGACATTACTGCTGTGAACGAATACATAATCTTGCACCTGGCACCATCTAAACATTCATCAGTCAGCACCAGCATCTACAATGAAGGACTGTTCCTTAAGCCACTGGAACACTTTGGTGTTCTTAAGTCATTGTCCTAAAGCCATGCTGTGATACACCTTCTCCTTTTGGAGTACCACGATAGTGCACCTGCTAAACAGGGAGAACTACCCCCATAATGGTCCCTCTATGCTCTCTTGTTTAATGGGATATAGGTGGCCTGAAGTATTCTAAACAAGAATTGAAATATTAACCACTTTTAATATTCAGGACTGAATTCTTAGCCCAGGGAGCAAATTGTGTGTATATATCTCCTCAGTGAGAGAACGTAGAAGGTTATACTATGAATTAATTCTGCACTGATGGGTTAAAAACAACAACACAGATTTCTGCATCTGCTCAGACAGCAATACTGTTAGAAAACACAGTCAAGAATAGTGGCATTTTCAAAGCACAATTTTATCTATTTTTCAAAAACCAGATACCAACTAGCTCTCAATAAAATACAAGAGCCTTACCCTGAAGATCTAAAACCTCAAATAATGCTGTGACCTATCAGTTAAGGATTTCTTCTTTGTGCATAAAGCATATTAAGAGAAAAAACAAACTATTTCATATCACATTGTATCATAATACAAGGAAACTAAAGATGACCAAGTCAAATGCTATAGCATCTGCAACACAAACCAGCAAGGAAGAAATTATTTAAAAAACCCACCCATTTAGGAAACCTTCCTCATACCTCCTCTTCACAGCAGTCAAATGTATTTTTGGGACAAACTACCTGGAGGTTTCAGGCAAAATGAGACACTTGTATACTTACAGATGATTTTGTGAAAAGTTACAACTATGGTATTACAATATATTCTTTATACTTTTAAATGAGAAATAGAAGCTAAAGCTTTTGCAGAGATAGCTCTTCATTTACGGCTTTAATGCAGCCGATGTAATTTTAAACCCAGGCTCCAGATACTCACTCCCCTAGGCCAATCAGAGAAAACTCAAGCTCTTGCAGGTGCTGGTAATACCAAATACAACTCCAGGCATGAAAATAAGACAGTTTCTCATGGTAAGCATAGTAAGCTGCAGGAAAAAGTTGCCTGGTATGTTATTGATCTGCAAGCTCTTGGAGGATAAAAAGTTGCACAAATATCTGTTAGGAGCAAGTTAACTTACGCAACCCTTTCCTGGAGAAGTGTTCTGCACAATCTCTTGGATTCTCTTCCTATTCTACAGATTTATATAGAAACTTGAAATTCATCTAATTGTAATTAATAAGCACTTTACACACATACTTGACCCTCACTAAAACCATTTAGGAATTTCTCTCAAAACTGACAGCCTTTTAAAAATTCAGCATGTGTGTGAATTATTGACTCCTCCCTAATGTGACAGAATTTTCTGTTAATGCTTTCTTCACAAAAAAGTCAAATGGCATTTGTGATGAAACATGCAATTTCAGATGAAAATAACTGAATGAAACAGCATCTTAATATCTTAGCTCCTCTTAATGAAAGGAACTCAAAACTTGGGTTTTGTCAGATTCTTAGCTCTTTACTGGAATTGCAGAAAAATCCAAGAAACTTTAATCTGTCCAAAATCACAGCAAATCAAAGTTGAAAAAATGGTTCCTCTAACTGGATGATTAAAGGCTTATCAGGAGAGCTTCAGGAAGCAGGTATAGTTTTTTACTACTAGAAACAAATCATTAATTCCAGTTTTGCAATAGATTTTCTAATCAGACTTCTAAAAGAATAACATCTTATATCTCAACCTTAAGAATAAATCTTGTACCTCCTACTTTATATGAGGAAAACAGGATGAGACATGATCTCTTTCAGTCCCACACGTCTATATTATTAGGCTATGAGGTAATGACAGGTACAAGTATTCAGCAGATGTGTGGGCTCACAGGATAAGGCATCTCTTTTTTGATACCAAAGCATTTCAAACAAATTTAAACAAAGCCTATTCTTCCAAAATAAGAGATAATGTACTTTTTCCTTCATTAAACGTATGAAAAGTGTGCCAAACCCTGAACTCCTGCAGTAACAAAACTATTTTTTGCTACTCTTAAATGGATCCTCACAGCATTTTTTTCCTTCATGCACTGTCTATTCTGACCAGATGCAGAATCAGCAAAACAAATTCGTAGTGTCACCAACCTTTGTTGTCTGCAGCTATAAATCCAAGAATGTTTTCATGGCGTAGCATAACTGTCTGATAAATTTCTGCTTCTCGAAACCATGACCGTTCCTCTCTTGAAGAGAAGATCTTCACAGCAACTTCTTCTCCTCTCCACTTCCCCCGCCAGACTTCTCCAAAGCGACCCTTACCAATGCTTTCTTGAAGTACTATAGTTCTTGCGATTGTTCTTTGCACAAGTAAAGGTAAACCTAAAAAGAAGATTTTACATTTACCTTAAATATCACACTACAGAATTAGTACTTATCCCACACACTGAATACGAGATCCTATTTCTATTAGGGTATTTCTCTTAGAATGAACATACTCTCTAAGATTTTAACTGCTTGTTGAGGGCTGCTAGGAAGCACATAGGTAAGACTCTGCCTTCACCCTTAAAAGGTCAGCTAACAAGTACTCACGGAGATTATGCTACAAACTACTTCTATGGTTATCAAAAGCACAACACAAACTTTCTTTCAGTTAGGAATGCTGTCACTTGCTGAGACTTAAAGTTTTATTTAAATGCAAAAAAAAAAAGCAATGATGAGGCGGTCAGGATTAAACCCAGGTTTAGGGGTTTCTTTCGGGCTGCTTGTTAGTGATTAAAGTGAGTTTTTTTTGTTTATTTTTGGAAAAAGGATCTGCCCATACCTCTCCTGGCAAAGCAATTTAAGAGCACTTTTGCTACTGGTTAATTTACTTGGCTTATCACTAGGTAGTCCATTTCTAAGTTAGTTAAACAACACTTATCAGCAACACCAACTGGTGAAAATCCATACTCATGCCCAAGTGTGCCAAGCATCTTAATAATCCTCAGTCACTGTAAAATAGGAAAACATCATTGTAATGCAAGCTTCCCACTTTACAGGCCATTCTTGTGCATCCCACTGTAATTATAATTTAGAAATATGTTTACATTCATCAAGGTTTTATAGCTTTGGAACATTTACATGCTTTCAATATAGAGCACCTCTTCAGTACACTTCAGTAGTTTTATACAACAAGCAGCACTGGCATCTCTCAACCAGGCTGGTCTTTTTTTTATTTTAAATCTTTCCTGCTGTAACTGCAGGGCTTGTCATTGGATTCTACACTGACACCACACTGCAGGATGAAAACATCAGCCAGGTTATCTGCTTAAGATAAGCTCTTTTGGTACAGGATTATTTCACTTTAACCAAATCCTTGACAAAGTAATCTGTTATTCTATAATCACTGTTCCAATATCTGACAGAACACCTGCATTTCCTTATGTTATAAAAAATAAATCCAACTAATAGCTCAGATAATTAATTCTTGTCCACCTTTGGACAGTCTTTGCTAACAGCAGCACTAGAAGGACATCTAAACTGGTTGGCAGCATCACCATGCTTGTGTCTCAGCCTGAGAAGAGCAAATCAAACACTGCAGTGTTCAGAACAGCTCCTCAAAAATTTTACACCTACAGGAATTTTCTGCATGGTCTATGCTGACAACATACCTACATGAAGACAGGAAGGAAAAAAAAGTGTACACCATACCAGCAATTTAATCATTGTTTGTAATAATTTAATCAAGTGTTGTAATAATTTATATTGAGGAAGTTAAAACTTTTGCTGTAATAGTCCTCAGGTGAATTGTGCTGCATGCCCAAACTATATAAGCTCTTCTGAGAAGCCTAATCTTCATTCCTTATAAACAGACTTTTGAAATGCAGAAGAGGCCAGATGAAAACAACCACAGGATCAAACTAAACCCTCAAAATGTAAAATTTTACTTGATTGTCAGAGAAAGTTTCTTCCTTAGAATTTATGCATTACCGCAAAATCTATATGCATATGTCAAATACTAGCTGATTTTGTGTACCTGAAATGGGTGATAGGCCATACAGTTGTATCAGAAAACTGTTTGTATATTCCCACTTTCAGATGCACTACTCTCAACTTCCTCCACCTTTTATAGACATCTCTCCTTATTTAACATATATATCCAAGGATATCAGCTAAACATATACTAACCTCTAAACCTTCTAGACAGAATGCATTTCAATTTCACATTACAAACTCCCATTCAGCACATTAACATGTCACTGTAGGATAAAAACTCTACTGTGATCTATCCACTTACTCCTACATTTATTTTTACAATATTTACAAGATTCAACTTGCTTCTGTTTATCTGAAGCTAATCTTGCCTTTACTACTGCTTCTTCTAGAAGATTGGATTCCATATTTATCTTGCATTCATAGCAATTCTTTACAGACTTTCTGTTGTAACAGAGCAATTTCCTCATTTCGCTATAGAAGATACACAGCCCTGTATCACCAGGAACTTGAGCAACTGCTGTACTGTAAACCAGACTGCCTGAAAAACATCTCACAGGAGACAGCTACAGCCTCATCCTTTCACATACACATTGGGCATAACTGTACTCCAACCTCTTGGATACACCTTCTTTTAACTGTGCATGAAGAAAGATGATAGCCAGTTTGCCAATCAGGAGAACAAGAAAATTTGTGCCCATATTAAATTCAACAGCAGCTCAGTGTCTGACACCTTGTATTTAGGTCATCCTTGACACCATGGTCATCCAACTTATTCCTGAAACCTTCATTATCATTTTCTTATATCATAAAGTATAAATATCATAAAATCCTTCTGCAAGTCTAACAAAAAAAGAAAGTTCATTTTCTTTTCCATATATTAAGAGTATTCTGATTAGTGCGATGACTTTCTAATGCATAAGGAGTTTGTAACTAAATTGGATAATTCAGGAAAGTAAGTTCTGGAGCACTACAGGTAGCCAACAAAAGTAGGGGCTAGAATTTTGTTCTTGTTCATAAGTCTCTATACAGAAGACTATCTCTGATGACTAATAAAAAAAACCCAAAACATTCCATGAACTGTGAAAAATCTTATTCCCTTCAAGCTTGTATGAATTGCAAAATAGTTTTTTAAGGAGCTTTATATTCACTTCAACTGACTCAACTTTGCATTGATTTCTGTGACCCTTTAGATTACTAAATAGCGTAAGTTCCTGCTGGAAGTTGCCTACCAACACCATCCAAAGCTTCTCCTCGTTGTTGGCAATTCTTCCTACTCCTTTGTAATTAAGTGACTTTGTCATTTGTGAGTTAAGACAGTAACAGATGGGCGTCCCCATCTGTCTATTCAATATGTAGTTGATATTTAGAGATCTGCATCATGATCTGAAAATCATTCTCAGCTCCAAGAGGCTTTGAAATCCTTCTCTTAGAAGCTGTAGCTTTGCCAGAAGGGTCTATTTTAGATGTTTCATTAATTCCTTCCATGGAGTATCTCCTTATTTCAGGTCTGGTTCGTCATGGAACAACATGGCAACACTAATGTTAAGTCAAGACCGAATAATTAATAGCAGCTTTAGCATCATTACAGCAAATGAATCCTACTCCCTTTTGGTCTGAATAGGAAGGTCATTTTTAGACTTCTCATTATTTCTCTGTTTTATACACTTATAAGAGAATACTGAATTTACAAAATTGGTAGCATCTTTTTTATTTTACTATGAGCTTTTCTGGTCTCTCAGCATGAATTTAAGAGCAGAACATAGCTTTTGCATCACCAAACTAAACATTTTCTTAGCTGTGTCTCTTGGGTCTGGATTATTTTGCCCATTTTGTATATTTCCATTGTGTTTTGGCAACCTCTTGTCCCAACGTCATCCCTTTCAGACAGTTCAGCTTCTGACAGGGTTAAGCACTGTTTTAACTAGCAGCTCTGACTTTTCTCCCTTTGGAGACCCTTTTCTCTACCCCCAATATATTCCATAAAGGTACAGTCTTCTCAACTTTAAATGTGCTGAACACAAAGTCTGGCCTAAAATACACATTTACATGAGATTCAAATGCTGCAGGCATATTTCAGGACACACAAAAGTTATCAATTCAAGTGCTAGGGCACTGTGAATTTGTATAGGCATTGATTGACTGATTTTGAGTCAAAGTGACACAAGTCATTGCAAATACACACAATGCCAATGTTACAGAAAGTAAGAACCTGAAGCATCTCCTATTTCACTGTCATAATCAAAGTGAAGTAGAGAAAACTAAGTAAGACTAATACTGGTCTTACAAATAGCTCAACAACATGGAACTCACCACAGCTGAAGTTAAAAGATTCCTTTTAAGGAAACATTCAGCCTTGTTTTACAGCCTTTCAAGCATAAAAGCGAATTAGTGAAGAGGCTCCCTTAGGGATAAGTCAAATTCAACCACATTTTTTGGTTTTCCTCCTTGGATGCATCCACCAGTAGCCAATGTTCAAATACCATAGTAGGGCAGGTGCTCTGGGAGTCTAGACCAGCCTGAGTGCCCTGAATTCAGCTGTGAAAGCTTAGCAATTCCCTAGCATGCTCCTTTTACTTAAAGGGTAATTTGCAAATAGGCAAGGGAAGGGTCAGTAGTTTCTAGCCATGTGCTCCAGAGGAATAATCATAAGTTTCTTTCAACTTGGATTCTCCACTTTTCAAGAGCTTATTCTAATGGAGTACTTCCAGAGTTCTCAAACAAAAAGAGAGGTTTGGAATCACTACAGGTAAGAAGGCCAGAAGAAAAAACAGAGGATTATTCTTGATAATGAATGAAAAGACCAATTAACAACTAAGTTTGAATTTTAATTAGAAATTTTTTTCAGCCTTCCTTGGGAAAAGTCTAGATCTGCAGACAGTAAGTACAGAGTGTTACACTTCTAATAGTGTAACAGTTATATATCAAACCTTTCTGGATTCCATGATATGTGCATCTCTGACTCCTCTATGCTATCTATATCTGTGACTACAGCATATCCCTCCTAGAACAAACACAACTAGAGACCTAAGCCCAGCATTTGCATTTATCAAGCTCTAGCCCAATATATTGGAAGTTCTAGTAACCACTTTCATCATCTGACTGTTAGTAAATGAGAAAATGGATATGAACACAAATTACTAAAACTCTAGCTCTAACCAGAGAACAACTTACCCTTATCGGGATCAAATCTTATTGAACACACAACAGCTTTCTCAGCTGAAACATAACAACCTACACATCTAGTGCAAACTCACATTCTTTAGAAAAGACATAACTAAAATTAATGTTTGATCTAGATTTTAAACATGTTCAGCAAGTTACATTGATTTTACTGACAAAGCAATGGACTAGAAACAGTTTTACCAGTTACTGTCTTTGGAAAAGAAAAACGACCTAGATGCTTGGGTTTTGTTGTTTAAATTTTTTCCAGTTCTGGGGAAAAAAAAGATACAGCAGTTGAGAATCAAACACCAGTCTTTCTTTGTAGAAAGCGTTCTGAAAGGGCATGGATGTTTCAACACATATGTTTGCAAGTAGTAGGAAATATTTTCAATATTAAATTATTTAAATTTTATATAGTAGGAGGTTGGTAAAAGGTTGCAGTACACAATTTGATGTCTCCCCCCCTAACATAGACCAAAGATCAATTCATTTATGCAATGATTTACCTGGCACATCATCCCCTAACAACACCTATTAAACTACATTTCTATGACACAGACCACAATAATCCTATATGCAATTAATGGTCAGAGTTACAATAGCTGAAACTCTATGCAGTGAACAGACTAATGCCTCATCTTTCCAGAGCAACACCTCTTCAAGTCAGAATTAAAACAAAAAACCACAAAATCAAGGGACAGACATTCATCAGACATGGTCTGCATATTGCATCCATTCTATATACAGAAATGCTATTTGCAATTGAAAAATATCTTCTGTAAGGAAAAAACTGGTAAAATATTAACTCAGAATATTCTTCATACACCAACAGCTACAATTATTTTTTCAATTTAAAGCTAAAGAACACCCTTTACAAAATTATCTAAAAACCACACAAGATGGTTGTTTAGATAGGCTGAACAGAACAAAAAAGGTACATGACAGCCCTACAGAACACAAAATGTTTACAATAGATGACTGCGATATTCCCTGAATTATATAATTTATATAAATCAGGCTGCTTTGAGAATGATAAGGAAGGGCAGCAACAATTCAGTGATTCTTTTTCTTCACTTATTTCTATACATTCAATCTCCACTGATGTTAACTGAATGTACATGGAAGTTGCTTTTCTAGTATTTTCTCCTGTTAATTAGAAGTTTAAGTAGATTTGACAATATTAAAAAAAAATAGATGTCTTACAAGGCTCTTAAGCACAGAGTAATTACTACTAGAAATGTCACATTACCTGACCCAGAACCTGAAGTTGTCATATCATAAATTAAATCCTTTAAAGTGGTTCCTTCTGATATAAAGGGACGATCCAGTGAAGGGTCTTCTTCACTTGGCACACGATGATGAATTACAGTACGATTATGACAAAGGTATAGAATCAACATCAGTGAAATGCAGACAAAACAGACAGGTCCAGCAATGACAGCAGCCAGTTCCACAGGTCCTAGGTTAGAAGCTGTTTTTTCTGGAGTAGGGCCTGAAAGTTAAAGAAAATTATAAAACCATTAATTTCCTTTTATTATACTAAACTTATAGTATCCCACAGTGATACTCAAATTATTTTAATGCGTTTGTTAAAGCTTTTGCACAGTAACTTTTTTCAAAATCAAAGTAAGTACTAAAAAGGACAAATGCAGCGTGTTTATTTACACTTTTCATTTAAGTCTTCAAAACTGTCCCTAACATCCCTATCCAAAAGATAAGAAATCTTGTCCAAATATCATGAAATTGTCTTTACAGAATCTAAGGTGTACTTTAGGCCTTCAAATTTACCTACACTTCCACTCTTACAGAACTTTGTTTGAAAAAATGAAAAAAAAAAAAATCAAAAACAAAAGAGCAAAAATCCCAACCCCCTTACCTGGTGTTGGAATTGGAAGTTCTACTTTATTGCAGAGAGGTGTGTTACAGCAATGAGACACAGTATGGACTCCATCTCTGGTGGAGGGGGAACAAACAAATGGTCTGTCTCGGGGAATCAGATCAATTTCTGCTATACACATACTGTTGCGCATTATTTTGTCTGCAGTTCGTGTTACCGAGGCGAAACATACTCCATCTGTCATACACGTAAAGTTGTCTTTTGTACATAGCTGGCAGTAACACTCTAATTCTGTATTGAGAAAAAAACATTAATGTTAGTATTCATGTTCTGAGCTGAGAAGCAATTTGAATGACTAAAGAAATACAAATTCAGAATGCTAGGAGGCTGTTTTAGTTACATAAACACAGAACAGCAACACTAAAAAAAAAAACAACAATGCTACTAGGCCTTTCAGTGGGACAATAAAATTGGGAGATGAGCAGAAGAAAGTAAAATTTAGATCTGAAGTCATGTCTGTCTACACAATAATATATTAAAAGACAAAGGCTAAAATCCCAGCTGTTCCTACAGGTAAAGAAGCACCACTACAGTTCCTCCTACAAAAGTTCTAGACTTTCAAAAGAACACTGCATGCAAGACTGCTATTTTCAAACCAAATACAAATGATGCCTTTTTTTTTTTGACAATAACCACAGGTACAGCTTGAGTAAGTGACAAATCAGATGCTGCTGGTTACCCAAGATTAGTATGTTATGCATTACTTGATAGTTTCCATTTTGTGCCAAAAGGGCAAATACCAGCTTAATCCTCATTAAAAACCAAACCCTGCATGATCCTTTCACAGAAGCAGAATGTGGTTTAGACTTGTTATTTATGAAGCCACACAAAAACACTCTCTTACATTACTCAAGGTGGTGATTTACTAAAGCTATCAACTGCAATAGTAAAGGAGAGAGCATGGGGAAGGAAGCAGGAATGACAGGCTAATCACTCTATGATGATCAGGTTTCATTCTTCACATTGCAGAAGTTCTTGGAGAAGGAAGACTACAACTTCTAATTTCTTTCTGCACTCCTTCCTGCACCAAAGTTATGCAGAAAACTGTGCAGGAGCAACAATATCAACACACCTTGATCCACCTGTTCAACTGTGAAGAGCAAAAGCTGGCCTAGAACTTGTGTACATGCACACAGAAAAATTAAAATACAGAACTTACACAAATTTAAAATCTTCAACATTTATGATCAAAAAGCAAAAAATGTCCTGAGCCATAAAAATAGTCTCTTTCAAGGCTACATACAAAAGCTCACCAAAAGGATGAGGATTAACAGGTGGTAATCAAAAGGTCCCCCAAATATGAAATCTGGTGTTTCACGTAAGTTCAAAAGTTTAATACAACGACATGGATTGCCTTAGATTTTACACCCCTCTCTGTCACTGGTTATCATGGATTTAAATAAATGGCAATCTGATCTCAAATACATATGTATGTAATCTCAAAGTTTGAATCCTGAGAAACATCCTCTTAAAACAGCCCCTTCCCCCAAGATTTTGAATCAAAGCATATTGCTGCCAATCATCTTCTACTGCTACTGAAGAGATCTGATCAAATTCTTAGGACCCAGTATAGAAAGATAACCTTGTTTCAGAGAGATTCACCAGCACACAGACCAGTCAGAAAAAGGGGAGGAAGAAAACCCTATAAATGAGATTTGAATTTTTTATTTTTTTTTAATGAAGATTACTGAAGAAAATAATTAGAAGGTAGATGAAATGAGAACTGGCATTCAGGAAGGTAAAGCTTAACAGCATCACTTTTTGCACACCTTTCCCTGCCTCATCAGGGAAGTAAGGCAAGTCTTATTATTCAGAGTTTAACTACAAGAAAATGTAACATTTATTTTCATGTTGCTGTCCCTTTGGTAATTCATGCTTGAACAAATATTTTTCAATATACACAAACCATTAAAAGTTTCCAAAAATATTTACACACACTATTTCAACTTTTAAAGTGAGCACACCTTTATCTCACCTGCTTAATCTGTAACTTTTTTCTACTAGACAGTAATTGTGGCTTATCACAACTGCACATGCATCTGAATGCCTACAAGAGACAGATACTGAGTGAGATATATTTACATTGAGTCACTGTGCAGAGGCCAAGTTACTTGAGGTGAAAAATTACATTTGGGTTGCTCTTGTTACACTTATTCATCTTCCTCGTCTTGTGAGGCTGTAGAGACACACTGTTCCAACCATGACTAAATAAAGCATTTTGTGTCCTATCTTCCTCATTCACTTTGTTCCCACCTCTCTTTTGCTACAGAATTCCCACTTAGTGCAATTTGATAAAATTTACACTTTTGTTCTGATTGGATGCCACTATCTTCTCGTCTCCTGACGAGACACAATTCACTGTCACACACATCGGAATGATTTCCTCGGCATAAATAAATCACTACTCCCTTCTGAAGCTACTCTCCCCCTCCCATAAGAAGGGAAAACAATGCCTAATCAGCTGAATAGCAAAGCTTCTAGCAATACAGGTTTTTGCTGCTCTCTAGTGGACACACTCTTAAAAAAAACCCAACAACTCATTAAAAATGCTTCAGCCCCCTTCCTACTCTGGCAACTTAACAGTTCTTCATGCCTTCCAACTCGAGCAAGTAACGGTAGAATTTCCACGTTTTAGTAAAAGGTAGAGTAATTCAGCATCTTCAGCAACAATCCATACCAGAAGGCAGAAATAAGGAATTGGAATATCCTTGCCTATGTCTCAATTCTCCAGTTATCTGTGTGCAAAGAACATAAACTACAACTACACAAACACATCATAAATGAGATTTAACATCAGCATGAGGTGTCAATGACCAACTATAGTTAAATCACTTAATTCCTATAAGGAAGTGTTTTCACTTATAGCTGATATAAAAGAAAAACAAAATCCCATACTGTTGTCCTCTTGGAGATAGAATTTTTTGCTTTTCATCCAAGTAGTCTCTGTTATTCCCAAAGAGATGTTACAGTAATTTTAAAAACTCAGACAGAAGCCAGTCAGATTTCCATGCTCACTTTAATGAATACATACATTTCTAGTACTGAATGACAACAGAAACGGATGAGAAACTGACAACTCTGATGTAAGCTGATCTTCCAGAGCCAGTAATCTCTCAGGTAAAAAACATTTCAATGCATTTGGTAAACACTGTTTAAATCTACTACCACAAAAAACACTTTCAAAACTACTGAAGAAGAGTAAAAAAGTTTTCAATCATGTCTGTCCTTGGCAGAGAACTATATTTTTTTAAATTATTGTAAGAGTTTTTGGATGGAACAACTAGCATGAAACTCCACTACCAACTAGTGAAAGTTCATGTTTGTTTAAATGATACAAGGTTGGGGAAATGACAGTACAAACAGCTAGACGAATGCACTGGAAGTCATACAGACAATCAGGGACATAGCCAAGAGCAGAAACTGGGTCAACACAGCAATGTAGTTCCTTGTGCATTGCATTTTGTCACTGCACCATTACCACTCTACATAGTAATTTCTGCTTTTTGAGACTGACTATCTTATAAAATAATAAACAGTGAGACAATGCTGTTGTGAAAGTGGGGGTGTGTGCATTATGACATTATCATGTCATACAAGTTATCAACAGCATATTTCTCGTATCTCATACCACAAGATTAACATCTTGTGTTGAATACCATTACTTGTGTAGTTGCTCAGACTCTGAGTTTGACAGTTTTGCCTTTCATTTACCAAGTCTCTCTTGCATGAATGTTGCAGTCTGGAAAGCCCCCAGTGAGGGTAAAGCAAGCTGGCTGCATAAATGAAACCCTGAAATTATGCAGCTTGACAAGACTTAAAATCAGCTGGCTCCCAGGAGTTCAGATATTAACACTATATACAAAATGTGAACAGAGAATTAAGTACACTCTAACCACAAAACTTTTACAAATTTGTACCAAAACCAGACTGTTACCTACTGAAACAGTCTTTTTTGTATCTGTTGTCTTTCTGAAGAAAGAAAATTGCAGAAAGACTTTTTTTTAGTTACATAAAACACTATGAATAACTACATAACATGTGTTTACATCCTGCCTCACTACTTCCACCAGACAGTTTAGTGCAGAACACCACCTTCGGCCAAAGAATTTTAGTTGGAAATTGTAAGTTGAAACATCGGCTTACAAAGAAAGGATGCTAACAAGGAGCAGTACCAAAGTTAAAATTTGTGGGGTGCTCTAAAAAACCGCAAACTCACATCTTACTGCAAGCAATTAACAATTTTACATTGTTAATACTTCAATAATATATGTCTTAGCTTTACAAATTAAAGAAAGACAAACAGCTGCAGTACCCAAAAGCAACATTTTGCTGAAAAAACCACTTCTCTTGTGGTATTATAAATGTTCCTACATGGAAAATACAAATTTTGAAGTAAAAATTTCACTAGAAAGTAGAACTTCACCAGAAGAGCAATCACAATTCTTGGTTCCAAAAGATGCAGAGGTTCAAGGGATAAAGGAGCAAGGCTATGATGCGCAAGAGACAAAACCAGATTTTTAGGGATATGAGCAAGAGGGCTGTAATGCTCACTGATAGTTCTTTCCCTGTTCAATAAAACTTGTCAAAGGAAAAAAACCCATAATACATAACAGTGCCAATGTCAGCTTCTGTAATTCAGACAATCCCATCAAACAATACACCTGACTCATCTGTGAACTCTTTTAGCTCAAGATACAAAAAGGTTTAGGTCTTAAAATATTGGGACATAGGTACCGTTTTTAAAACCTCAATAGTTCATGACCTTCACTAACACATTCTTCTCACAAAGGCACTAATTAATTTTCACTGTTGTAAAGTAACAGCACTGGGTATCAAGTCTTCAGGAAAACTTGCACATAGATTTCAGCCATGTTTGTTAAGCAAAACTTCCTTCCTGCAAACAGCAGGTCTTGTCAAACAAAGTGCACTCAAGAAAACAGACGAACTATTTGTGTAAAATCCCAACTTCGAAAAAGTGATATTATATTCCCTGCAATGTAGGTGCCAAATGGCACTTTTAGTTTTCTTGCCCTCTATCCAAAACACTACCCAAAGATATGTTCATGCCTCTTAGAACATTATACAGTAACCATTTGTTTCTTGTTTGGTAGAAGAATATTCTTTAAAAAAAAAAAAAAAAAAAAAAAAAAAAAAAAAAACAAAACCCCAAACTAACTGAAGAAAGCTAAAATTAAAAGCCCAGATAATAATTTTGCAAGCATTATGAAAACAGAAAGATCATTACTAGTACTTTTAAATTTATTCCACCATATCAGATTGGTATCTTTATTTGCAGTTAGAAGCAACTGTCTGAATACAAGAGTTTCCAAGTGGTGACTTCCCCAAACTTCAGAAGACTAAAGACTATGGCCTACACAGTGAAAACCACAAAGCTTATTTTCAGACTCTGTCTTAAAAATTAACTGTTCAGCTAGCTGCTGGGATTCATTACATGCCTGACCCCCGTATAAACCATGTCGCAAGACAACTCATCCACACAGTAACATCAGCACATTGCAGAACAGCCTTAGCAGAGGCAATCAGAAAATGCCCAACTTCTGTCAACCCACAATAAGAGGTACTAGTAGCCAAATCATACCTTGAATTATTTTATCAACTTAGACTACAATGTTCAGGCAAATTAACTGCCTTACCCATACCAGGGCCTCTGGATGAGTTATGGATCAGGAACCCTGGATTTCTCCTGATTCCATTGAACATAGAAGATTTCTCTTTTTTTAAACAAAAGATAGTAGGCCACCACTTCCACCCATAAGGTTTCGTGTGGAAGTCTGTTGCCTTTTTTTTCACACAAGTCTTTTAGACCTTAATTTCATGCCCCAGATTAAGGGACAACTGTTGATTGATGGGAGGCACTAAAAGGGAAAAAGTTCAAAGCTCAAATTGAGCTAAAATTTCCTTCAATATCTAAACTGAGTGCGTTACGTAAGAAAGCTTTAAATTATTAAAGCCTGCCATACCTTTTCAAGAATACAAGAAACTGATTTCACTGTTTCCACATCAGAGATTCTGCATTGCCTTCAGTAAGAATATGGGTGATTAACACTACATGTTAGTATAGCAAGTGATGCTTTAAGTAACTTTTTTTTCTAGCATGAGTACTATTTTAGACTGAATTATGTACAGCATGGTGTAGATCCAGACTGAGGGATGTCTCAAAGCTGTAACTGAAAAAGTTGTGGTGCTTCTCCACTTCCTCTTTAAAACCCAAAGCAATACACAATCCATGAGGCCATATGTCCCAAACTGCTAACCATGGAACAACCTGAACATTTAAAAAAACCAAAACGAAGAAAGAAAACTACCCAAATCTTGTATTTATGAATGCTGTTAAGCACTCCAATGTTTCATGCATTAGCTCTGCAACAGCACAGCTCTGATACCAAATCTCTCTCACAAAAAAAACACAGGTACAGGAGACGGGAGGAACACAACGGTTTCACTGTACAATATTCACCCTAACATATAATTTCCACACGGCTCGATCCTCACCGAACACACAGGCGAGGGCGTGCTGGACCAAAGTTCACCTGTCCCCCCACCACCGCGACAGCAGCACACGGTGCTGCGGCGTGCAGCACAGCCGGGGCAGCCCCTTGTCACCTCCGCGACGGGGGACATTCAACACGTCTCTGCACCGGCCGCTCCTCCCGGGCACTGCTGCGAGCGCCCTGAGGCGGCCCGGGGGCTGCCGCTCCTGCCGCTGCCGGCGCACCTCGCCCAGGAGCCGGGGGGCTCTCAGGGGCTGGCGGACAGACAGACGGGAGAGCTCCGCCAGCTCCAGGTACCTGAGTTGCCTTCGCGGGCCATGGCCACACGCACCCAGCCGGGCAGACATCGGGACACAAAGTTAGCCAGGGCAGACATCGCCCGAAGCGCTGCTCAGCGGGGGCGAGGAAGCAACGGCGGGGGCCGAAGGGAGCCCTCCCCGCCGCCCCTCGCGAGGAGCCGCCGCCGCTCCCGGCCAACAAAGGGCCGAGCGGTCCCCGCCGGGCTCGGACACCGGGGGTGGGGGGAGGTGACTCCGCCCCAGCCGGCCCCTCCGCCATGTTGTTGAAAGGAACCGGCGGGGACCCCCCCCCCCCCCCCCCCCCCCTCCCCCCCCCCCCCCCCCGCCGCTCTCCTCACGCACCCCCACCCCGGGCGCCACCGCCGCGCCCGCTGCCTCCCTCCGCTCCCGCACCCCCCCCGCGCACTCACCGCCCGCCGCAGGGCAGAGCAGCGCGGCCACAGCCAGGCACAGCAGGGCCCAGGGACGCCGCCGCGGCCGCCGAGCGGCCACCGCCATGTCCCAGCCGCGACTCCCCGGAGTCAGGATCCGCCTCGCGACGCGCGTCCGCTCCACCCGCCCAGGGACCGGCGCGGCGCTCGCACTGCGTGCACCCTCCCGGCCCGCTCCGGCCGCGAATGCCACCGACGCGGCAGCGGCGGCGCCGCCTGATTGGTCGCCGCGCCCCGGCCCCGCCTCCCGGCGGCAGCGGGCAGCCCCGACAACAACAGGCGGCGGGAGCGGGGCGCGACCCGAGCGGCCGCGGGGCGGGGCGTCGGCGCCCCCTCCCGGCAGGGCAGGGCAGGGCAGGGCAGGCCTGGGCCGGGGGCGGACCCTCGGCCTCCCCTCGGCGCAGATCCCGAAGGGACTCGCGTGCTGGGTTTGGAGGTTCCCTGCCCCTGGGCGTTCTGAGAGCGCTCGGGCGAGCGGCTGAGGCGCTGGCAGCACTGCTTTGCGGAGCCCCGGGGGCACCGGCCCCGCTGGAGGGCAGGTGCAGGAATCTGTGGGCAGCCCTCGAGTTGCCTCCGGAGCGGAGGAAAGGAGCGGTAGCGGAGGAATTGCTCCTCTCGGGAGGCGCTGCGGGTGGGCAGGCGGACCGTGCGGAACCCCGGGCCGGTCGCTCCTTCCCCGCTCTCCCGCTCCTTCCCCGCGCTCCCTGCCAGCTCCCGGCGGCACGGGACAGGCCGGCGCTCCCGCGGCCAGTCCTGCGGAGTCCCGCGGCCAGTCCCGGAGCGGAGGGTTTGCCCTCCCGCAGCAGCGCTGAGCCCACAGGCTTTGTCCCCGTGCGAGGGAAGAGCGGTGCCAGGCGACAGGTGTAGCTGCCAGCTTATTGCACAGTCTGCATGTGACTTCAGAAGTTAACTGGGAGTTGGAAGCAAACTCGCCCAGTCCAAATAGCCAAATACTGAGGTACACCTTGAATCTTGAAACCTGGGGCAACTGGGATGTACCTCGTGAAGAAAATGACCGTGACTGAGGCTGTTATTTCTAACCACAGCTTTATTAGCTTTGCATGGATGGCAGAGCAGGAGGAGAGGCTCTCCTCTTCCCTCTTGGGATCAGGTAACCTTTCTCCCAGCAGTTACCTCTTGCTCTGGGAATCCACCCACCGCGCCAGCTCCAATATCTGACTGTTGTGTCCAGATCCTGAATCAGTTCAGATTCTCTCAGCATATGCTTTTATACTCCCTTTGTTGCTTGTTTTGCATGCAGTGTGACCCTCTCGTCATAGGCCAAGTCATGAAGATCAGAGGTGTTTTTCCACATTACTTGCAGTCTCTCTTGCAAGCCCCGTGCGCTGTCTCGGCAGCTGGCAGATGGTGCTTTCCCAGCTCACAGTGTTCAGGACAGCGCTCTCCCCACTCCAGAACCACATTCACTGCCATGGCACGCTGATCTCCTGCCTCCCTTTTACTAGCAGTTATTCAGCCAACACTGCTTTGTTGCTGCTACAGTATACTTCACCTGGATAAGAATCTTGATAATGTCATAGTTCAAAGTGAGGTAAATATTTATTAATTCATTCTCTTCCCCTTTCTCTCTGAACAACGATCAGTGTCATACATAAACACATACTAGTTGTATTTTTCCTCACCAAATAAGATTTTAATGACATGCACTTCATGACAGATGTTGAACCAAATGTCTGGATTTTATATAGATTCATGCTGTAATGAACTACTGAAGCTGACAACGCCAGGCAAACACGTTCTTACTTATCCATATGTAGAAATACTTAGAGGGCTAATCCTCAAATAAATATACTAGCATCAGGAAGAAACACTGAAGCAATCAGATAAATTGCTCAAATCCTGAGACATCTTTTAAATTCATATAGATCATTGAAACTATAAATTAAGGAAGTTATATGCTCAGGGAAAAAAAAAAAATCCACTATTTATTTCCCCATTGCAGATCTCCTGGGTTTAAGGATGGGTCACAGAATATGTCTCTGAAGGAAGGCAGGGACCAGTAAGCAGAGCATGGTGAAGGATTTTTTTTCAGAGCTCCAGGTTCAGTCCTATGGGAAACATTTTGAATTAACATCCTGAGTGACATTTGGCTGACAGACACAGAAAAAATTAAAATAAATCAATAACTTGCAGGTACCAACTCAGCAGCTAAGATGGATTCGGATCACTTCCAATAGTGCCACTACAAAGGAAATATTTTTTTGCCAGGCCTCACTCTTCTTTTGTATTACTCATGAGGTAAAGACAACTACAGAAGAAATATCTAAAATTATGTCATCCCCTATCCTGATCCCTCTCTGATCTGATATGTTAGATTTAAAAGTCAAAGTAAATGTGGGCCAGAAGCAAAGCTACTGAAATAGGTTCTGCATGTCCAGAATCTCCCTTTGGAAGCTATGCTTCCATGTGCCCAGATTCTTAGGACTGCAGCTTCTGGTCTTGATTAAGGTGGGGTCTAAGAACTTCTGATTGTGATAAGACTCTTGATATTCAATAGGCTCTGGTAAACATCTAGGTCTTGTTCTTGTTGGCACCTTCCCCTGTTAGCTCCCCCTTATCACTGTAAGATTCATCCTTGTATTTTACCATCATCTTTCTTCCACTCTTACTTCTGCTGTCAGTTCCCCTTTTCCAACATTTAGGCCTCCCCCTTCCTTCTTTTGAGGTTCATAACTGCTTCTGGTGCAGCAGGGGTTTGCTCATCTAGGCAGTATCTGGCATCTTTAGGAGGGCTGTAGGAGAGGTTGGATTCACAGGTCGAGATGCAAATTAATTCATGTTACATGTCCTGTTTGGTAACAACAAAATTTGCCTTTGTTTTTGCTTTACAAAATGGAGCAGTTAAATAAAAATTACAAACTGAAAATGATGGCCTGAAAAAATTTAAATCATTGGTTCCTTCCTATTTCTGCAAACAAATTTTCATCCTCTAAACATGCTAGTTAGTCAAGTGAGGCTAAGTCAGACAATGACACAGTCAGTGAAACAGTTTCCAAGATATGCCTTTCTGTAAAGTGACATTTTGTTTAAGAAGAAAATAACTGTTCTGTTATCACAGATTCTTCAAAATTGCAATAATTGCTTGGCCTTTCCTCCCAACATAGCGTGGAAAAACATTTTCACAGTACAAATTTGCCAAGTTCAATAGAAAACAATGCATGACCATTGTATGGTTATGACATTCTAACTGGATGAATTAAATATAATTTTTCAGTATTTCCTGTAAAAGAACACTTAAAAGCACTTATGAACTGCAATCCTCAGTGCTTACTGAGGATGGAAATAATGTCATCAGTGGACACAAATTTAAAAGAACAGGCAACCCCCCTCCCCCCCCATTTTTCCCAGCTTCATTTTTATAATAAACTAATGAATTTATGACATAATTATATTCCAATTATAGAAATATGCAACAAAAGTAAATTTTTTTAATGCAAGGTAAAACACAAAGCAAGATGACATGGAAAAACCAAATGATCTGGATTTATGAGATTTGTTTAAATCATCAAATTGGTTGGACAGATTTGAAAAATCCTGGCTTTTTAGGTTGAGTAAATCAAGTTATTACACAGGGAATATCTTCAATTTAAATACTGAGTAATTTCTTTCTTCTGTACTAGAATGTGACAGTCATACACATGTGCAGCACCCACACGGAGAGAGAATGAAATAATTAGTCTTTACCTAGTGCTACTTTTATTTTCTGCAAGAATTCTTGGCAGTGTATGAACACTACTTATATCTTTTCTCTTCTGGAAGATGGAAAACAAAAGAATTGCAACTGCATGAAAGTTTCAAATGGAACTCTGTGCTTCTGGAACTCCGTGCTCCACAAAGTAAGAAACTATGTAGGGCATTGAAATAAAAGACATTTTGGAAAGGGACAAGTGGATAGAGAGACAATTATACAAACCAATTTGTTCTATAGGTTAGTCTTTGAGACAGATCAATGATATGAATAATCTTGTATTATAAGCTGATTTGATTCCAAAAATGGGTGCCAATAAACATTTTTTTCCTTAGGTTTTTAAAGTAAAAATATATGGAAGTGTGATAGGAAATAGTATGTATGGTGATGACTAAAAGTTTCATTTGTCTTTTGGTGTAAGAGGTACTGTATCAGGGTAATAAAGAATCTCTCACAGTGTATGCACAATTAGTGCTAAAGCAATAAAAAGAAAAACACCTTTATTTTTATTGCTTTATCACTAATTGCTTTAGCACTAAACTAAATTTTTACAGTTTTCTATCCATGGTAAGTAGCTAAATGTTATGTTTGTTTGTTTGGAAGAACTGGACATGAGTCTATCAGTGCATCATGATACTTACAAATTACTTTCACCAAGGAACTCAGCAAGAGGAAAAGTACTGAATGTGTAACATTTACCAAAATAGAATAAGTTATTGATAAAACCCCAACATTGCCCTCTCCACCTAGTCCTTGATTTTTCCAAACAGTTTGACTCAAACTGGAACAGAAAATATCAAAGTGCTTATTAGTGTGCAGTTTCTGTATGTACGCAAACCAGAAAGTTTCACAAAGGCCTGTGATCTTTCTAAATCAGAGACAAGCAAAAGGAACCACTTTTTTGAAGTCACTGCTTTATAAAACACTCAGAATTACTCATTTTATATAGCCCTTATAAACATTGCCTGATTTGACTCATCAGTGTTTCCAGAACAAAATACTGTGAGATCTTAGTTATTAAACACCCAGTTAATCATCTCCTTTAACTGAAGGCCAGTTACAGCTTAAGATGTATAAAGCCCTTTTTGCTTTTAAGTCACTGTGGAACACTTTGTATCCCTGAGTTATGAGCTGGGCAGCCCAGCAATGCACCACACAGGAGCGCAGCTGCTTGATCCCTGCAGCAACAGCCACCTTATTTCACAGATAATGAATTTGTGGACATCGCAGTGTCCTAAGTTCTTTAGGCAGATCTCAGTGACAACAATTAAACCCCTTAAATGTGGTGTTTCATTCCAGCTTGTAGAGTCCATCAGCTGCTGAGCTGGTTTATTACATGTGTCTTAGTGCAGCTTCACTTGAAATCAGGTATGATCTATTCACAGAGAGAGGTGTTGACGGTAAGTCTCCTTACAGAGAGGTCTGATTTATGCTGGAAGTAGGGAAGAAGTGTGTAGTTCAAGACATGCT